AAAAAAAAAAACCAAAAGGAATACCTTTCCCGTAGCTTTTTCAGTTCCACATCTCTCTCGCTTATTAATTCAGAGATGCTAACAAAATAATTGTGTTCCAGGTTCAACAGCATTTCAGAAGCTGGAGAATGTATCAGATCGTGATAAACATCTGCAAAATCTTCATCCCAGCTGGTTTCTTCAGGTTTTGCATATTCTAACATTGTCTAAAAATTGTAAGAGATTTTAAAGCACATGGTACCTCTTAGGACATGTAAGGATCCCTCATGACGGTGGTACAAAATCAAGTGGGCATGCACACTGTTGCACAACCTTCAACATACATCAATTATCTTTGCTAATTGGAGCTTTCTGTATTCTTCTTTAGCTTTAACATTTTCTCCATTCTTTCTCTTTCAAAGCAACTAACAACAGAAACATTCAGGTTTTGGCTACAGTGAAGAATTACCAGTTTTCAGCCACCGCCAACTTGGAAAGAACAATACCAATAATGGTATTTGCAATTGATGAATTTTAGATAGGGCCCAAAACTTCAACTGTGCAAACAAAAATGTTTTGCTAGAAAGGATGACTAACCTCTGATGTCATGGGACTTTGATCTAAGAAAGGCAATTTTTACTGAACAAAGAATGGCCCAACGATGCCAGTTTTCCTTTATACTGAAACGCTCCTGCAATCATTCCCACCAGACTCATCTGATGAGCTGAAATTTTATCACTGACATACAGGTTAGAAACGTCAGGAGATGATCTAATCCTAACCCTTGCACTCAGGCTAACCTGTTCAGAGAAATCACTGGCACAAAAGACTAAACTCTCAGCATCTTATCGCATTCATATGTTCACCCAATACAGCTTTTTCCCCTCTTAAAGGTTAAGCTAATTTAATTTTGTTAATAATCGTTAAGGCAGGTGATTTGCTTCTTGTTCTCTTTATAACAGATGTGTTTTGGATTTTTTTCGAAACGTTCTTCTATATTCCGTGACAAACAAATTCAATTCCTATAATTTTTTAACAGCTGCAATTCCTGTCATTCTTTTTTCTTTCTTCACTAGAAGTCCTACAGTTCTTTTACATTCCTCTGTTTTGAGGATCACACACAGAGCCGGACACATTACTCTAACCAGAGCCTCATCATTGCTAAATAATGTAGAAGAGTCACATGAACTCAGAAAATAAGCTGAAAAGTCTCCTCCAATTATACTCTTTCTCTTTGGTGTCATCATTGCTGTTTTTGAGATTTAGGACGGGGTACCGCTGTACTATCTCTTGCTTTGATTCTAATGTACTATAATCCATAGGTCCATTTTTGTTTGAATATCACTAGCTATTTACTTCTTGATTTTCTATTTTTGACTCTACTAAATTCAGAAAAAAACATGACTGAGAACTTGTAGGTGGAAGACTTATTGTTCACTTCCAGATAACAGGAAAAAAAATCTTAAGAATTGATAAGTAAATTTCAGTGTACATTCTGCACCCTCACAGATGTGGTGCTGTCTGTACACGCACACGCTCTCACAAAGCAAGTCCTGAAGAGTAATTTTTCAGTCTTAATCTTACCTCTTTATAAGCTTTAGCCCAAGTATCTGCCAGCTGGTTTATGTCTACTTTGCCTGATTTCACTGCTTCCAGAGCTATTTCAGCTTCTCTATCATAATCTTTTATAGTTTCCTCTTCTATGAACTTATTAAGAGATTGCTTCAGGTCTATTATAACAAGAAGAGAATGGTC